AATCGCAGAATGCGGCGTGATTTCCACGGGCGCCGCTCGGTTTTGTAGGCTCGCGGATTTCAGGTCCTCCTCGGGTCTTCCCTTTCGGTGTTGCGTGAGGGGTCCGTGCGTCATCGCACGACTGTTGGATCCGCACATCGTGCGGTGGCTCCACGTCGAAATTTTCGTAAGGGGGGCCCAGTCCGGACGTCATGAAAAAAATGGCCCTTGGTACTGGCCCCGTGCGCATGTCATGAAAAAAGGCCCCCAGGGTTCGTTTCCTCGCCTTCGCTGGGCCCAGTCGCTTGACAAACTGGAGGGGTGGTTTCGGGCGGCGCTCGTGGTCGGTTTATATTTTCCGGGGCCTGATGGGGGTGGCTGGGGGAGGGTCGGGGGGGGGGGGGCTGCGGCAGTGTCCATAGTGAAGTCACCGTCTAGCCGTCCGATTTGCAGATCGGACGGCCGACGTTCGTCTTCTCACATAAATGGGTGCTGATTGGCGCGCAGGCAGGTCTTTTCGTGGGGTACGATTACAGTTTGAGGCGGGCATTGGATGTCGTTGAACTGCTGTTTGGGGTCTGGTGCAGCCCATTTGCATCTCCTGCCTGACGAGCGCATTCGCGCGCAACGTCACGTCCGCGACCTTCTACATCGCCTTCGCTGCTCCGCTGTCGCGCCACGTGTCTGCGTGCGTGGGCGTCTGGGTTTCCTCTCGTCGTCGCCTCGTTTCCGTCCTTCCGCCCGCTCATGGACTCCTGTTGTCGGAGCTTCGACATCCCGTCTTTGCGTTTTGCGTCAACAAGTGTCCGCCATCGTCTGCGCTGCGACCTTGTCAAAAAGTTGCGCCATCGTGTGCGCTTTGCCCTCATCGAAGAGTTGTGTCTCGTCGAAGAACTGCGCCGCGTTAAAGAGCTGCGCCATCGTATGCACTTTGCCCTCGTCAAGGTACAGTGGTGTTCTGCCTGCCCACGTGTCAGCCGTTGCCCACAACTGCTGGGGTTGGCTTTGGGGCACATGCTTGCCAGCGCATGACAGCCGCCGCGTCGTGCCACGTGTCGCAAGTGGCGGGGACGGTGGGRACGSCTGTCGATGACATTGGGGCACATGGTTTTTGTGTTCCCTTTTGCTTCCCACTCGTTCGTTCCTCGCGATCGGCCCCATGATTCCTGCTTGGGTTGGCGTCGGGGCACATGGTTTTTATGTTTCCCTCTCTTCTCAGTCGTTCGTTCCTCACGATCGACCCCATGATTCCTGCTTGGGTTGGCATTGGGGCACATGGTTTCTGTGTTTCCTTTTCCTCTCACTCGTTCGATCCCCGCGATCGACCAGACGACTTCTAACTGAATTGCGTTCCTGTTTTGCGGCAACTACACGGATTTCAAAAAATGCTTTAAACAGGGTCGTTGCCTACTCCATTTGTTACCGAATTGAACATTGCAAAACACACCCACGTGGTTGAGTTAAACACGAATTCGCCTTTTTGAAAATTGAAAAAAAACTCTTTGCCTCGCACGTTTATTTTTTTCATCAAACAAATCAAAGGTTGGGTAACACAAAGGTGATGCATCGGACTGCAAATCCACGACTGATGGTTCGAATCCGTCACGGGCCCAACTACACGAGCAGTAGAGAGACAGTCATCGCGGCAGGTGTTGTGGACGATAAGCAGGTGCCACATGGGTTGCGCGCGACCAGGGTCGGTGTTAAGCATCTCGCAATGGCCCTTTTGCGAAGGATGTTGACCATCCACGTGGCGTGCAGTGACTGTTTCTTGCGCTGATGTTGGCGGGCGCATGAGAGGGATGGTATTCATCAACGGGAGGAGATCGTCATTCCGTGTTCATGTTCTCGCCACAACATTTGTGCCTCTTTCCCCGAAGAGACTATGACATCAGTCCCCGGAGATATGGTGTCGTCTCCATCCCGCGCACACAGCATGCACATGATCCACCCGAGAGCTCACGGATGTTAAGCGCGCACTCCTGGCGCTGGTCGTGAGGGACGCGCTACCACATTGCGCACGACAAATGCCAGGACTGTGCGCGCGACATCCGTGGGCTCCCGGGCGAAGAATGCACACGCTGTGTGCACGTGATGGAGAACGACACCACCGCTCGCTGCAATGATGATGTCGTTTCTTCGGCGTGAGCGCCGCTTATTTCGTGACGAGAACCTTAACACGAAACGATGGCCTCGTTAAATAACGAACAACCCGGCCTCCTCCGGGAAACGTCTTATTCATCAGGGCAATGGGGGACGCCATTGTGACTGCAAGCGCGAAATGAATAACCGCCAACCAAAAAATGGCGAGTCACGTGTGATTGTCTGGCGAAAAGGGAAATTCGGATCGGCGGACGACAACAATCATGCGTTGTGCTCTCACGAAAGTGTCATTGTGTTGTCGTCATGTGGTCGTGGGGAGAGCATGCGCCCGTGAGAGCACAGCGCATGATTGTTGAAGTTCGCCGGCATCCGAACTTCCCTTCTCGCCAGGCAATCGTACGCGACTCGCCGTTTTTTGGTTGGCGGTTGTTGGTTTTGCGCTTGCAGTTACAATAGCGTCCCCCATTGCCGTGATGACTGCCTTCTGCGGGACAGGGTTTCCATCTTTCGGGGGTGGGGTCGATACCTCCGAACGCCCTGACAATTCCCACCGTGCGAGGGCGATAACACGAAGTTCGGATCCCGGCGGACTTGCGATCTGGTGCATGCAAAGTCGCGAGCTGCTCATATGATTATTGTTGTGTTCCTGCAAATGTGCGCTGTTTCGACCACATCGCTGAAATCACACGCTTCCAGTATCGGCACACAATATGACACAAATCGAATCTGCCCCATTGACGGTTTATAGGGGTCTTTTGAGAGTCCTGGCTACATGACTGTCCTTCGGTTGGCGTTGCCGCAAAAAACAGTCCAATCGCAGGGCCCGCAACAAAAACAAAACGTGCCTTGCTATCAAGTTCGGATCCGGGTGGATTTCGCGGTTGGCACCCGTTCGTGGTCACTCTATGAAGCCGCGGGCAAGTTCGGATCTTGTGTGAAACCTGCCATTGCCCGAGTGCAAGCTCGCCTTGTCCGCGGGACTAATTGGGGGTCGTAGGGGTTGTTCGAGGGTTTTGCTTCGGTCCACTGACGCTTAGATGTGGATTTCAGAAGGCGCTCGTCCAACAGTGCGACCACTCCAACCCTCCCTAGTCTATCATGCTAAGGTTCAACTGCCTATATAACTAAGTTCTGAACCCATCCTTGGTCTTCTTAACAGGATTCCTTTCCCTGTCAATAAGCTTTTTGTTTTCATCCAACCTTACCAAACCCTTTTCCTTGTCAAACTTAAACCCTTGGCACTCCTCCCTCAGATGCATCCCCTTCATGCAATACCAACACAACTTTTTATCCTCACTTCTTGACTTTTTGGCAGAATGATGTGGTAGTGCCATCTCCTTTTCTTCACCTGCTTCCACCATCTCTGAACAAGGTCTCTTGAACTACTATCCCTAGATTCGTCTTCATTGGAAGACTTCGTAACAGTGTCAGATGTCATTAGCTCAACCTGCTTGTTAACAGAAGTTGGAATGATAGTGGCATGATCATTGTTCTCTTTTCTTAGTCCCAACACTTCTCTGCTTGCTCTTTCTAAGCCTTGCCCTGGTGCACGATATGTCCTTGTAACATTCCTGATTTCAAATCCCATCTCGTCGTTCCATTCAACTATCTTTGTAGGCGTTTCTGCTCCTTCCCCTTGAGCAACCATTCTGAGATTTTCTACCTTCTTCTCCATTGCCTTCCACTTCTCTTCTCAATTCTTGCTTTCCTTCCTTCTTTCTTCCTTTATAGTCTCCATCTCTTTTTCTTGCTCACTGACCTTCCCTTCCAGCTTGCCAACTTCCTTCTCCAATTTTTCTCGCTCAATCCTCTCTTTTTCCACCTCCTTGTTTTTATTGTCCAAGGTAATGTTCAATGATTCCACCTGCTTCTTCAATCCTTGTTGCTCCTCCTTTACTCTGCTTATTTCAGCCCTCATGCTCTCTACTTCTTTTTCCATCTTTTCCACTTGTGCATCCCTGCTTTCTTCCCTCTTCCTCAATCTTTGGATCTCTTTCGGGACTTCAGCGATGTGGCTTGCTACTTCTTGAATGAGTAATTCCTCCTCCTCTTTTACCCTTTTTTGGAGTTCTCTCATTGAAGTCTTCAACTTCCCAGCCTCGTCATTCCCTCTCCGACTCTTTCCTGCTTTCTCCAATTTCTCTTCCACCTCTGCTTCTCTCTCAAGGATCCACTCACAGTCATCTCGAAGTGGCTCATGCAGCCTGATTAACTTGTCCATGTCTGATGCCAACTTAGAGCCCTTGATTGTTTCAGCCAACAAGACCCTCTCGATCGTCACACTCCAAGAGGCATCTGCATGTAGCTCATCTTCTTTTATTGAAGCGACCATTCTGTTCTTTCATTCCTTTATTATTTTCCTCTCTCTTTTCTCTTTCCTCCTTGATCATTCTCCTTGATCCTGGTCCCCTGAGAGGATTCTCATCTGTTGTCATTCCAGTCTCTCTCCCTGTTTGATTCTCCTCATCTTCCTTCTTCTCATTCTCCTTTGCGTCCTCTTTTTCCTTTACTACCTCTTCCACTTCCTTGTTCCTCTCTTCTTCACCCTCCTTGTCCTGCTCACATTCTTCTTCTTCTTCCTGGCTTTGGTTCTTCTCCCTGCTTCTTCCCTTTTATTGCACTCTTGTGGTCTTGCTTGTTGACCCATTCCCCTTCTCAGCTGTTGCCCTCTTCTTGTCAAGTACTTGTCTCAGGGGCACTTTATCTTCAACAATTTCCTATTGACCCTTTCTCTCTAGCCTCTCTCCTCTTTTTCCTATCCACAATCCCTGCTCTTGAAGTAACTGCGTTTTCTTCTGTCTCTGCACGGCCAGGGTGTAGGTTCTTCTAAACTTGACAAGAAATTCTCCACAGGTATCTGATTCCTCCTTGATCTTCCTCACACTCTCATATTTCCTGAGGTCCACTCTTGTCATTACCTGTTCCAGCTTCTCCTCTTCCTTCCACCCTTTCTTCTCTGCATACAGAGCAATGTTGTCCTCAAAATCCTCCACATTAGTCCCATTAAAGATGATATCATCCTTATTCTCATCTCTCCTCAGATCCCCATACCCAGCCCGCATCTCCGTTTTGAAGGTCATCCACCCCAGACAGTCGGTGGTGATTTCCTCAATCTTCAATTGACACTCCCCCACACCTGTCACTCTGAGCAGCATGGTTGGGGTGCCCACTCCCTCCTGAAGGCATAATCCTCAAACTCCCTCAGGAACAACCTCAAATTGTCCCCCTTCTTGTAGATCGGCACTCCGTCCGCGTCCCACCGTAATCCCTGTCGCCGTTCCCTGTCAAAGGTTGGCCTGGAAGGCATCCCTCCCTTCCGTGTCATCGCCACTCCTTTTACTGGATTAAGGCTGCATACAGAAAAGAACGAAGAGAGTGGCAGGTGCAATGGGGAGTTAGCAGCCGGGTAACGATATCAGGTTTGCAAATTATGCAATCACAAGGGGTTTTGAGGAGGATCGAATTAACCAATCTTCAAGTTATTGATTCACCTCATTTCTTGTTCTGAATTTCTTCAACCTGGATCCAGAAACCCAGTCTCGCCTTGGCGTTCCATCCATTTCCTCCAGCTCATATGCCCCATGATTCCCCTGACGTTGAACCTTGTATGGCCCCAACCATCTCTTATCCAACTTCCTTGAGCATTGTTTCTCCAGGGATGAGTCATACAACCGTACTACGTCCCCGATTGCCAATGGTTCAGTTCGTATGCGAGGAAGCCGATCCCATCTTTCCTTGTTTTTCCCCCGACTGTTAGCCACTTTCTCGACCGCTTCTTGAATCCTTTCCTCTGTGACACTGACCTGTTTGGCGCGGATGTCAAGTTAATCTTCAAGTGGCAGGTCGTTTTCAAGATCCTGTCTCCGCCAGGTCTTCAGGAAACTTTCTATTGGAAAGGTGGCGTGTCTCCCATACCATACGGTCGCAGGAGCATACCATGTGGTTCTTCTGACTGTGATATTTTCGACGAAGAATACCGTCCGTAGGAACTTAGGCCACAAATTAGGTTTCCAACTCTCCATTTTGCCAGCAAATTCGTTATGGTGTTGTGCCCTCTTTCTACTGGTGCATTAACCTGAGGATGTGCCCTGGTGGTGTACTTGGCGATCACTCCAAGATCATCCAACAATTCCTTAACCTCCCCACATGTGAATTTCAACCCTCTATCCATCGTGAATTCCACCACGAAGGGATACCGGAGGTAATACTATTTGATGCACTAAGCCAAGACTGCCCCAGTCTTGGTCCGGATGGTCTTCCCATCAACAAATCCCGTGAGATTGTCTCTAGCATCAAAGATGTAGTTGTAAACCCCAAGTCCCGGCGGCATTGCCAGCAGGTCCAGGTGAACTACTGCCCCCACATCCTTGATATACCTCGGATGAAGAGGCTCCTTATACCTGATCGGCAATCTGACCTTGCACGACACACATGACTCACAGTACTTTCTAACCATCCCGTACATGTTTTTCCAAAAGTACACTTCAGTCACTTTCTTGAGGGTAGCGGCAAAACCCCTGTGACCACCAACAGGTCCATCATGGAAGGTCGCTATAACATCAATCTGCCGATTCCTGCCATAGTTAACCCTTCTAGGACGTCCTCTTTCATCCCTGATGAAGAGATGGTCACCCCTCACTACATAATGGTCCCTCATGCGGAGAGTTTTCTCACCAACTTCCCTTTCTCGCTTGTCGCCTGAAAGAAGAAGCCCCATTTCTAGATGAAACCCATCGTACTCTTCTTCCCGAAAATCTTCAGAGATTTCACCTTGCTCAAATTCTTCTCCCTCCATTTCCTCATCAAACTCTGGTTCATCTCCTAATACTATCTCATCCGCCTTTACTGTTCCTCTTTCTTCTCCGGTCCGGACTTGCAGGAGAGAGTTCACAAGGTAATGTACTCTCCCCACTGTCAATAAATGCCGATCCACTTGCCCTGTCCCTGCCTCAATTGGAACAGGTTCGTCCGTCAACCTGTAGCTTTCAGCCAAGGCTAACTCCGCCATCCATTCCCCATTCCTTTCTCCCCATGGGTCCTCTTCTACGAAAGGCTTTAATACCAACCTTCCATCCTTCATAAAAGTCGTTGGTGCGAACCACATAGGTTTTCCATCTCTTGCCTCATTGTTATCGATTCTCAGAGCCCACGCGTTAACGTGGAGCTGCATATCGTCTTCTTCTAAGAATCCGTCTACCGGCGGCGCCTCCTCCTTAGCTTCTCCAGGCTTCTCCCACTCTATCCTGCTCAACCCATCCGCTCTGTTCTTATTCCCTAGAATGTGCTCCAACTGAAAATCAAACATCCAGATGTAGGTGAGCCACCTGGCAACTGTAGGATCAGCTGGAGAGAAGTTCCTAAGGGAATACATGACGGCGGTTGGATCTACCCTTAGAATGAATCTTCTCCGAAAGAGATAACGTCTGAAGATCCGTAGGCAGTGTAAAACCGCCAAGGCCTCCTTCTTGAATTGGGAGTAGTTCCTCTCAGTTGACTTGAGAGTTCAACTCTCAAAGCGCAACGGTCTTTCCTTACCCTCATGATCCACATGTATCAAGACTCCTCTCAAGGCAGTGGGTCCGGCATCGGTTTCTATTATGAAGGGACGTTCTAAGATTGCTTCGTAGTCCAGAACCCCAAGTACCAGACCTTCTTCCTCAAATTCCTTTTTTAAATTTCTCACCACCTGCTCCTGCTTTTCTCCCCACTCTCATTCCTGATTCTTCCTTACCAATTTCCTTACGTGCTCAGTCTTAGCGGCGAACCTCTTAATAAATATCCTCCAGAACCCACATGTCTCAAGAAAACACCTCACCTGACCTATATTCTTGAATGGTGTCGGCCACTCAAGAATTTTGTTTGTTTTTTTGGAATCCGGACGACAACCCTGCTCATTACACACAAACCCGAGAATAGTTGTCTCCCTCATCCAGTGCCTGGATTTAGCGCCACTTGCCGTGAGGTTGTGCTCTTGCAGGAGATTAAGCACCTTCCTGAGATCATTGACATGATCCCAGACGAACTTTCGAATGTCAGGCGCAACCTCTTATTCATTTTTTTATCGTCGGCCCTTTCACTGCAAGATCGTTGATATAGGGCTCGGTGATCTGTGGACTAATCGGGTGCATTACCCTGATCATACTCCTCTGGACCATGACTACCGCATTAATCCACCCTTGCGGTGCTACGTTCATGTGGATCAGTCCCCTAGGAGTGTGCATCGCAGTTATCGGGCTATCAGCCGGATAAACTGAAAATTGGTCATAACCAGAGTAGAGGTTTAAAAGAGAAATAATAGACCTCCCTGCACATGCTTCGGAAAGCTGATCGGCGTTAGGGAGCCCTTCAGCATCCCTAACAGTCACGGCATTTAGTCTCTGCAAGTCCTACACCCACCTGAATACCCCATTTGGTTTAATAAAGCAGCACCATGGTGAAGCATATGACCCACTATAAAATCCTGCCACGTGCGAGTCAATCTTTCTATCGAGGTATTCCACCACTCTTCTCTTATCATCAGGATTCGGGTACCTGGCTCCTCTAATATTCCACGGCTGGTGCGAGACTGTATGGATCCGGATCATACCTACCTTGTCCACATCTAACCTCCCTCTCTGCTAATCATTAAAGGCATAGGCGCAATGTTTTTCTTTCATTAAACTTATTACCAATGCTCTTTCCTGCTTTGTCAGAAAGCCGGGCTCCTCAATGATCAGCTCCTTTTCCGTTTCTTCGTCGATGCGACAGGCTTCTTCTTCCCACTTTTCTCTCATTTGTCTTATCAGTTTTCTCTCCTGCTCATAGTACACACTCTCTTCGTGTGTTACTAATACTGGGACTGGACGACTCTTTTTGTCTACTGTTTTGTACCTCCTTTTGCCTTCTTGCCTGAGCCCACCCCTAAAAAATGCTGACCGCTTGATTGGGTATATTCTCCCTGCATTTTTACATCTCGCGAGGGTGGTGTATATACTAAGTCCATCCTACCTCCTTCGGGATATTCGCCCAATCTGTCAACCAAAGCCATGATGGTTTCTTGGTCGGCCATCTCATAAGCTGAGACCATGCACATTGTCTGGTCTATATTTGCCAAGCTCAGAACCAGTCTCTCATCCTCTTCCTCTTCTTCTTCCTCGCCTGATCCCCACTATAATTCCCTTCTTCTGTCCTCAAACTCTTCAAACGTATAGGATCCTGCGTTGAGGCGATTCTTTGAACAGTGGGGACCCGTATTCTTACATGTAAGTACTTCGAAATTCCAACACACGGGGTCGCACAATATTACGTACATAGTCTCATCATGCTCATTCATGATGAGAGTTTCTGATCTCGACAGGAAGGACCTCCCCAATAATATGGGAAGACTCAGACTCGGCATGATGTAGAAGCAGGAACGGACCTTAATCCGCCCTACTTTCACGATGACGTTTGAGGCAACACCTGTATAGCCTGACTTCTCACTAACTCCATTGAGGAATCCGAAGTCGCTCTTATCAACTTCTAATCCCAATCTCTCAGTCGTCTCTGATTTCATAATATTCATTCCCGCCCCGGTATCTACTATTCCAGGGCATCCCCTTCCTCTAATATTAACCTCAATAGAACCAGTCCCAATGGACTTCCAATCCATTTTGCTCCCTGCGATGGTCCAGTTCGCCTCTTTAGGAATCAAATCCCCTAACCTCACCGTTGCCACTATCTTTCGTGCCAGTTTTGCTTTAACTAGTTCTCTAAGCTTTGGTGCCGTTGCCAAAATCTCTTTTAAATTTAGCAGCTCGGTATATCCGTCGAGAAGTTTGTTCACCAAATTCTCGAGATCTACCCCCTCTTCAATAGATGTCAGATACTTCCACTTTTTCTTGGACTTTTTTTTTACCTTCTTTTTTTCTTCCTTACTTCCCTGCTTCCGTTTCTTGGCCCACTGCTCAGCGCGCTTATCCTTCTCTTCTCTCAGTTGTTCATCCTGATCCTCTTCCTCTTCGCCTATGTCAATAGAGGGTTCACCAGGAGGAGGAGGCGGAGCCTGCTTCTGTTCCTTAGTTGCATTGCTTCCTTTAGTCCGCCAAGCAGTATATGGCACAAAACTCCTAAGGGTTTGGTAAGCTGCCTCGGGTCTTGCCGCTAAACTTGCCCTTAGCGCCCTTGGATTGGGTTCTCGGGGTCTTTCTTTCCCACTTCCCTGACCCATAGTAAATACATGCGGGGCTCTTAACTCCATAATTTTGACGTCTTCACATATACCCATCATTCGGATATTCAGTCTTCTTATCTTATCTATCAGGTCTTTCATTCTCTCTATGGTGTCTTTTGCTCACTCCCTAACTACTTCGTCCTCTCTTGGTTCAAGCTCGATCAACGGAGCTTCCTCTTCTTTCTGGCCTATCTTTAGTCATTTCTTCATCTTTTCTCCTTACTCGGTCACATCTTCTACCTTAATAAAGGGGTCTCCCTTTTCTTGCCAGATTCAAAACATAGCGGGGACACTCGGTCCTAACCCTGCAACCCTTAGCGCCTCCTTTCTTGTGCCTCCAGGGATGTTTGGGTCAATAAGAGTGCCTCGCTTATCATACACATCCCCGTCTATGTTTGACGTAATTACCCCATCCTGTTCGTCCATCTTTCTAATAGGGCATCTCTTCACGGTATACCCCTTGATTTGACAGTAGGTACAGGTGCACTCACTGCAATCTATCCAACCTCGTTCGTAGCCCTGAGCATTCCACTGTCCATCACTCCTACCAAACCCTCGGCCATAGTTTTGGTTATAGCCTTGACCATAGCCCTGACCATACCCTTGGTTGTATCCTTGACCGACTTGGTTAAAGCTCACTTGATTATAATTCCTTGACTGAGGGTCTCCCTGATTGCCCCAGCCCCCTCCTTGTCCGCCATGTCCTCTTCCTCCAAACCCTCTTCCCCCTTGATCATTTCCTCTTCCTCCGATTCTACCTCTACTTTGTCTTTGTCCGTGTCCTTGTCCTTGAAACTGATTCTGGTTTTTATTACCGCGCGTCTGCTGAGCTGGCTGCGACAATTCTCCACTCTTTCCTCGTCCTTGTGTCTGACCTGTGTTCCCTCCTGGCCCTTGCATTTGGGGCAGATTCGGATACAGGCCTATCTGTCCAAACCCCGATCATTGATTCCCTGGAAAAAATCCTGGCCATGCCCCCATAGGAGCCACAACTGGCCATGGGGTGACTTGGGCAGTGGGGGCATGTGCTTCTGTGACGCCGGACACACCAGTCTGTTGAGAGCCCTGTGTTTTATCAGTTCCTTGTTTTCTCGTTGGTTGGTTCTTGGTCTTCTTCTGGGCTACTTTTGCCTTGGTTACCTGGTCCGGCTCATCTTCCTTTTCTTCCTTGTCTTCTTCATTCTCTTCCTCATATCTCCTTTTGTTCGTTGCTTGACCAACCGCCATTATCTTCCCTGGCGTCATTTGCTCCTTCATTTCCTTTAGTTGAGCCGTCATGCTGCTCAAGACTCCTCCTAAGGCTAGATCTGCCCCCTGAATTGCGCTTACCTCCTTCCTTTTCTACCTTTTCATTTTCACCTGATGGTGGAACACCTGGTCCAAATCGCCGGATGCCAAATTCCTCTTTATCGTTTCCCAAGACGTCTTTCTTCCTGGCGCACCTCCTCGTGTTACTTTCATCGCCTCATCTCCTGAGAACTTCCCCAGGAAAATGACACACTGCATTTCCTCGGAAAGTCCCAGGACTCTCTCTGCCATCTTTTCAAAAGTCGTCGCGAACGTCCCTATTGTACTAAGATCATTTTTATTCAAATTGTACAGATGGTCGACAGTTAGCAATCTATCCCCTAACTTGTATTTCCGTTGCATTCCCTTCTTGAATTCAATCCAACTCCCTTGGGCTTCTGTAACGATCTTTTCGGCTTCCGGGCGGCACTCCCACCATACGTACTCATACAATTGAGCAAACTTCTCAGCCGATGTTAGTTGATTGAAGACCTGTTCGAGTAATTCTAACCAGTGGGACACCCGTTCTCCTTGAAAAGGGAATATTTCTATTTTTGGCAGTTGCGACCTTTTGATTGCTCTACTCTCATGTAGCCGCACGATCTCTGCGGCTGTAATGGAACCCTGTCCTCCATCGGCGTCTCCCATCTTTCCACAGTCCTCAATCAATCTGTCATACACATGTAGAGACGACGGGTTTTTAGATTACCTCTCAGCTCTCTTACTTTTCTTTTTAGTTTTTGGCCTTGGGTGTTTTACCCTTCCCAAGGTGCTATCTAAACCCTGTCCAGCCCAAGGTTCTAACTATCTTACATTTCCTCCCCTGTTACTCTCATTTCACCCTCTCCCTTGACATTAACTAGTATACACTAATTCCCATATTTTCGCGATCCCCAATTACTACCCCTACCATCTACTGAGATGAT